GGGGGCATCGCTCCCGGCACCGCTCGCTTGCCTCCTCGGCGCCGCAGGACGTCCGCCTCCCGACGAGCACGCTCGGTCCGCGGCGGCCGAGCCGTCAAAGGCGTCTCCGAGAGGGGCGGACGTGGGGAGTTACCCCCACCCCGGGGAAAGAGGGGCGGGGCTCGGCCAGCTCCGTACAACACGATGGTCGCGCCCGTACGGCGGAACTTCCCCGGGCGTACGTGTTACCGGCCGCTCCTGCCGGCGCCGCGCAGAGCGAGCGGAGCCCTTACTCGCCGCCACGCCGCCTCCCCCAGCCTCAGCTCCGCTGCCGACCCGACGCCTCTCCCCTCTCCGCGTCGCCCCTCCGTACGGCAAAATGGCAGCCCCCAGTGCGCGGGGGAAGCCGCACGGCGCACCGAACCGTGACGAGCGCTGCCGGCAGCCAACCGCCGCGGAGCCCGGCGGCGAGCTGCGTTCCCATTGGGCGGGCGCCGCGCTCGCGCCAGCAGCCGCGCAGCGCTGCGCCGGGGCGTATGTGTCGGTGGGGACGGCAACGGCCGCAGCCCTCGGCGGGGCCGCCGCCATGGACGCAGGTGGGTGGCGGGGGCGGCCTCTTTCCCGCGCCGCGACCGAGGGGAGGGCGGCTGCTTTCCCCTTCAGGTAGCCCGCGGCCCGGCCCGGCGGCCCTTTGCGGTCTGCGGCTTCCCGGGGTAGCCCAGGCCCGGGCGGCGCGGCCCGGAGCGGCGCGGCCTCCCCCGGTGCTCTGAGGCGCGGTCCCTGCCCGGGCGGCGGCGGGAGAAGCCACCGCCCCCCGGCCCGATCACCGCCCCGGGGCACGGCCCTGGAAACGGCGTCCCCAGCCCTGTGGGGCCCTAAGGGGCCCCGCCGCCTCCCCTAAGGGGAACGGTGGAGGCTCGGGGCGGCCCGGCGGTGACCCCGGTACCGGCGGTGCAGGCCAGAGCCGAGAGGGAGCCAGCTCAGCGCGGGGGGGGGGGGGAATCCTTCCTACCCTTCCCAGCCCGTCTTTCGCCGTTGTCCCTAAAAAGCCTGGAGCTCTTCCGCGTTGTTTGGCGATGTGGCCTGGACGGCGCCGCCCGGGAAGCGAACCGGAGGGCCCGGGCGGTGGCGGGGCAGGTGTCCCGGTGCTGTGCTCGGCTCCCGAAGCGGTGGTGGGGCGGGTGTCCTTGTGCTGTGCTCCACTCCCCAGGCGCTGTGGCTGCCTTCTGCTGCGTCAAGGGGTAAAGGCGACTTGGCCGCTCGTCGTGACTGGTCGTCACCTTTACCGAGAGTGCCGGCAAGGCTGTTTGCAATAGAGATTTTGTTTTCATACAGGGGGAGATAAAAGGAAGCATGTTGGCATTTGGCTTGGGACTTCCTTCTAGCCTTCGCATAGTAACAGCTTTCATCCACCCTCTGCAGAGATAAGTGTTGTTCCATAATAACGAACGTTTTCCTGTGCCACGTGGGCTCCTCCTCTGCGTTGGGCGAGCATGTGTATGCGGAGGTAATCTGTAGTTCTCATTCCTCCAGACTGCTGTTTTGACTTGTTTTTGTCCTTGGTGCAGGCGATTCTGTTGTCAGTATAGGCCGTTTGATAGCGTCCCAACTTTCTGCCTGGTGCGTCCTTGCACATCATTGCATCCAGTCTCTCGCTCCTGGGAACAAAACACATTCCAGCAAGTGAACTAACACAACATGAGCTGGGAGATATGTTTGCTTTCCCTTTGCATAAGCATTGCAGGGCTTCTCGAGGGAAGGAAAACTTTGCTGGGATAGACAGTAGGGCTGGATCCCCTTTATACAAAGGGGGGGGGGGTGTCTCATTGCCTTGGAGCTATGAGAGCTCAAGCCCCTTTGCATCCAGCCCTGTTCCTGAGACAGTTGGAGACCTGACAGGCAGACTTTGAGCTGCTTGCTCTGGGCCTCCAAGAAGATGCTACGCTCCAGTTAACTGACTTTCCTCCCTGGCTGTCTCTAAATTCCTTGTTGTTGCTTAGATAATCGGGATTTGTCTTGTTTGAAAGAGCTTAGTTTCTGCAAAGGCCAGAAATAAGGGTTCAGGCTGTTCTTTGATTATCTGTTTTCTATGCGTTTTTCAACAATAAGCTTTACTAACACAATAAATTTACCTGTTCTTGACTCTCTTTTGTAACATCCTACATCCAGTAGCTTTCTTCCTCTCTGCTCTGTCTCAGGTGATGTAGCTTTATCAGCTGAGGGAGATGATTGTCTGCCCCATTTCTGATTCTTTTGTGGTGGTGGTAACTGGAGGCTGAAGTACTCGGGGAAAATGTCTCTAAGCTGTTGCAGGTGCTGCCTGAGGAGCATTACAGTGTCGGAGAGAGGGGCCTCTCCAGGGACTGGGGGAAGACCGAAAAGCAGTTTGGGAAGGGAGGTATTGCAAAGCCTGGTTTTCCTTCCGTGTGATGCTCTAAATCCCTGCTTCAGTATTTTGTATAAAAAGTTTTTCGACAAAACACCTAAGCTGTATAGGCAAACTGTAACCAAGATGATTGATGCTGCAGTGAACATCAGCTGTTTTGCTGTGCGGACCACAGGGAAAATCACTTGCCATATTTCTATTTGAGTCATCAAAGTTTTGACTTGTTATTTGTTTTCACAAGTTGATAGCAAAATGAATAGCTTTGCTTTTGGTAAAGCAGATAAAGTTAGTGGCTCTCAAGGACTTGATATTTGCCATGTTTCTATTTGAGTCATCAAAGTTTTGACTTGTTATTTGTTTTTGAAAGTTGATAGAAAAACGAATAGCTTTGCTTTTGGTAAAGCAGATAAAGTTAGTGGCTCTCAAGGACTTGATATTTGCCTTAAGCCCATATCTTGCCTTCAGCACATCTGCAAACTGACATCACCAGTCAGGGTCTGCTTCCCGGTGCCCGGCTGTGCTTCTGTGTTTGATTATGTGGGAGCTTATTACAAGTTGGGATAATATTTTTATCTCAGCTTTTTCACTGTACAGCTTAAGAATATAAGAATGGAGGCAAGATTTCACCCTCTACCCTAATTCTATGTATTGAGACAGTTTTTCTTGGTCTATGTCAAGATGATGCTGTATAGCTGTTCAATAACCTTGCACGTACTCATGTTTAGTAAACTGATACTGAAAGTCTCTGATACTGCAGGCATGTGCTGAGTATGTCAAGGGTTGGTTCCCTGCACTTCATACAAGGCAGGCTTTTGTAATGTGGCCTGCTGTCTTGTAACTGAGTAGATCTAACCACATGCAAAAAAGTGGAAGACAACTCAAATGTTCAGGTTTAATGCCGCTATTTAATGCGGTTTTAGTCTGAATGCCTTTACCTAGGTTGTTTAATGTAGGTGCTTTCTGTAGTGGCACGTACAAAGCTTTGCCTTTTCTGTCGAGGCTTTCTCGGTAGGGTGTGGGGTGAGAAGGTGTTCTGGGACACTGCAGCAGACCCTGTGGAAGGTGTGCCCATGGGGCAGAGATCTAGCCAACCTCGTGTCATTCACAGCATGCCCAAGGCTCCTGGAAAGCGAGGCTGCCTCTCTCAGGGTGTGCTTTGCAGGGCTGAAACTCTTGGCTTTTTAACTATAAATCCACTGTGCACAGAGAGAAGTTGAACTGTTGTATTTGATGCACACTCGGATTTTCTGCAGAGGCTGCTGCTCTAATGTCTTGGATGCTCAGAGGTCGGTATTTAAAACAGATTGAGGGCTTCTTGAAGGTGAAGTTTTGGAGTGCTGCCTGAGAAATCTGCTGATCTCACCCGACTTTTGCAGCTCTGAAAAGAGCATCTTTGAATAGGATTTCTGCTTGGTGAATTTCCAGTTTTATTTATTTTCAGACCCTTTGCCTCTAACTGTAAGGGAGAGAAAGGCTCCAGTGCAAGCTGTGACACTCTTTGTACCCCTGCCTGAATTGTTTGGGTCCCACTGGCTCATATTTGGCTCATATTTAGCTCATCTGGGCAATAGCACAGTGGATGTAGTTTTGAAAAAGTGCCAGAGTGTATGAAGGTAGGTGTTTGTAAAGGAAACACTTAGTGGCTTCAAGCCTTGTGGGGAGTTTACTGCTCCCATTACAACATCGTTGATACTAACTGGGAGCACTCACTTGAATTTTCCTCCCTGTGAAGGTGAAACCTCAACTCCTGCATTTAACAGTTGTGCCTTTTCAGATGGTGGCAAGTATATTCTTCCAAAAAAACAACATGGGCACTAATGTCTGACTGCATCTTTCGGATGTGCCGCTGGAGCTGCAGGACCTTTGCACAGAGCCCAGATGCTGGGCATTCAGCTGAAGGACTGCAAGTCTGAAACTCTCCTCCCGAATGTGCAGTGTCATGGCACTTGTAGTTTGCATGCGCTGTGCTCCCTGAATATGCAGCTGGTCCAGCGGGCAGCCTGGGAATCCCTCCTGCCTGCTGACCCCTTCCTCTCCTAGCTTTGATTGAAGGGGAGAGACTCCAGCAGCCCCTTTCCAGCAAATCCTTGCCGTGAGGCTGCCAGTTGTAAATCCTCTGCTTGCTAAGGACCTGGTGCCCTGCAAAATGTGGAGCCACACAGGGTGTGACATTTGAGAAGGCGAGGAAGTGTTGCTAGGAAGAAGAGGGTTGGTGGGTAGCTTGATAGTTTCTATGTAGCATCCTTGTTTCAGTCATTTTATTTAAGCTATTTGAGGCTCTTTTGACAGAGCCCTGGATTCGCAGCAAGCTTGAGAACTGACAAAATATTTCTTGCAGCTTTAAAACCTGAGAACTTCAGTTTTTGTGTTAAGATTGTATTGGGTAACACACTGAATTTTAAAAAATCCTAACAACTGGCCTTCCTTTGAGCTGTTAGAATAAATTTGTAATGTCTCATCCCAAAGGGGAACTTCTGAAAGTTAAGGGAGAAAGTAGAAAGTGATGCACTCTTGAAAACATCTGCAGAAGTCACGTCGCTTCCTTCCCTGGAAAGAAATCTCCAACATTGAGCAAGAAGCGGGGCAAAGCAAGCCAAGCTATTAAGTGAAGATAGGTACAGAAAACATGGACTGCTGGGGATTCATAAAATTTGGCTAGTGTTTGGTAAAGAAATTCTTAATTTCCCTGCTAAAGTTTGTTAGAGGAACAGACTGCATTAATTTGCTGGAACTTTTCTGTGCAAGCAGAATTGCTTTGCTTAGGTGGCTGTTGAGAAGTCACATCACTGGATAGGAATGGGAACATGTGGGCCGTGCTATCCTAAATGTGCCTGAAACAGTCTGTAGACTAATTCACCCAAGGAACATGCTTTAAATCTGTTGGGCTGTGGTTAGGGCCAGAGTCTAATTCAGAATTTGATTTTGGAGCCTATTTTCATCGATATTGCCAGGGTTCCTACTTAAAGAGTAGCTGGTCTTAGTGATGGTGTCTTGCTGCTGCTACTTAAGTATTTTCTTTGACATTTGGAATTGGAATTTCAGGTCAGAGAGCCCAGGGGCGGAAGGCTGATGAAGTACCTACAGGAGGCCAAAATGTCTTGTGTAGCTTGTTTGCCCAAGCACAACATGGAGTATCCTAGATGTCTGGAAGGAGAGGGACCAGAACTTTGTGGTGACTTTCTGGAGCTATTGTTGATGCAAATCTGCTAAGTTGTTATTTACTGGTGCACCAGATAATGCTTTGGAAGGCTAAGTGGGGAATGACTGGGAGGAAAGCTCATCCACGAACATCTATTCGTGAGAAGGGTGAGGTCTGCTATGTAGGCAGCACGAGAAAAAAGCAGCAGGTGACTCTCCTGGGAAGCAAAAAGCAAGGCGTGCGCTATGGAGAGTGGTGGCTTTCACAGCAAACGGGGCTGAGAGGAGCTTGTGGTCGTTTAGTCCGTTGCCCTGTTTTAAACTCATGTCACATTACTGCACATTTTATTGCATTTGCTGTGAGAGATATTTTCAATAGCCACTTTTACAGTTACAGAACAGTCTGGCTTAGTTCTGCTTTAAATTTTATAGGTGGTTTGTTAAAGAATTCACACCTACAAAATTAGATGGTTCATTTCCAGGGTTCCCAAACCACTTTAAAGTGCCTTATTTCCAAATACAGGCCTAGCGGAGCATGGTTCATCCAACTCTCCTTTTTTTTTTTTTTTTTTTTTTTTTCCCCTCCCCGTTCCCTGTGCCTTTTGCACAAAAGTTTAAACTACCCTGATCCAAGGGCAGCCTGTGCTGCTGAGTTGTTCTGTAGTGGTTGTGTAAGAGGATGGATACTTAGGCACTGATGGATGCCGTGCTGTGAAGGGAGCCAGTAAAATAGACATAAGGTTTGTCTATTGCCTGTGAACAAGTACATCTCTGCACAGATCTGTGTTCCTCAGATTTTAGTGTGATATTTGTAAAGGCAGTGCTGCTCCTCAAGCTGCAGGCTGTTTTCAGTGCATGTGATGACTACTGCTGGATTCATTGCCTTTTGAGGAGGGCCTGACTTGCAGAGCAAAGTTTAATTCCCATCTTAATGCAATCTGTGCTTTTTGTGTTCCACCACCAAAAATTATATTCTCTGGAAGAAGGATTTTAATCACTTTGCTCACTTGAAAAGAGGACCTCGGTATCATTGCTGATGACGTGCACGATGATGCCTGTTCTGGGAAAGAGAGAACAGCTGCCAGCTAAAGCCCTAGACGTTTTCTTGACCGTTTTCTGCACTGGACAGAACATAGAGCTCACCTAACCTGGAAATCCCTCTTCTTTTCTGCTTGTGGAACAGCCAGGAGTGAGCCAGGGCTGTGTCAGCTCTCTCTGCTTTCCAGAGTTGGTGGCCGTAAGGGGAGCTGTACCTTTTCTTGTCAGCTAGAGCCAGGTGCTCTGGGTGTGTAAGTTACTGGGCCACAGCAGCTCTGATTCTGTAGTTTTGTATGATTTTTTAAAACACGAGGAAAAGCTATAGAAGATATATAATTTCTTCTTTTTCTTTCTAGCTACTCTTACCTATGACACTCTCAGGTTTGAATATGAAGACTTCCCTGAGACCAAAGAACCTGTTTGGATCCTTGGCCGGAAATACAGTGTTTTTACAGGTATTTTGCATGCACGATGCAATACTCCAGAGGACTTTGTTAGTGTTGCACTTTGCTTTCTGAGCAGCAAAGTGACTGCAAACCCTATAAACACACTGCAGAGTCTGTCTGTCTGCTGGCAAAGCATCCAGACCATAACTGCCATATTTCTGTCTGGCCATCTCCGCAGGCTCTGGAATATTTTTGTGCAGAAAGTTACCATATAGTAGTTATTGGGACTTGTGTCATGAGGCCAGGATGGTTGAGGCCAGGGGATACCTCAGGGGAAAGGCACAAAGATGGTTTACTGCTTCATAATTTGCCTATGGCCATAGTGTCTTTGGGTTGATTGCACCTATTTGGGGGGAAAAAGAAGGTTTCTTCTGCACAGTGGCACTGTCCTGTTCCTCATCCCGATTTTGTCTCTCTGGGCATGCATACTGTGTGAGGAGCAGAATGCTGTTGTCATTAGGGAAGGTGAGTGGGAGATGGATTTAGCTGTGTTTGGTGCTACCCTCATGTGCATGCCTTTCGATTCTGAAAATTTTTCAGAGAAAGAAGAGATCCTGTTGGATGTGACCTCTCGGCTTTGGTTCACCTACAGAAAGAACTTCCCTGCTATTGGTATGTACTGTGGATGAGTCTAAGTACATCCTGGAAATGATGATAATCCGGTTATCTCTACCTAATAAAACAGTCCCCACAAGCATAACATTAATGCACTTCCGTTTATAAGAATCTGAAATGCACTTCATTTAATTGATAGGATAGACTTTTTGTTTATCTGATAATGAGAATTCCTTATCCCCTTGGGTATGACAGATTACAGTGTTTTTAAAAAGGACACAAGAATGAGTTTGGGAAGCCTACCTAGAAACATCCTTTCTTTGAGCAGCATGGGTAGATTTTTGTACTTCATGTTCACTAGATCCTACATAAGTCTAACGTGAAATATTATTTAATGATGTTCTTGGGCTTGAATTGGATTAAAACGATGAAAGCTAGAGATGTGATACAGAAATTACTGCCTTTGTGCATCTGCTCTAAACCATATGTGGGTTTGTTTGTGTGGGGGGTTTTTAAATGCCTGAAGTGGCTGTTACACACGGGAGCTGTAGTAATATGGGGAACATTTCACAGTGAACTCAGAGGAGGATGTCTTCATTCCTTATGGTATTCTGCATGGTCTCTTCTGCGGTTTGGTTTTGTGTGCTAGGTGGAAGGTGTATCAGAAGAGATCCGAGAACAGGTAAATGGGACTCCAAGCCCCATCTGTGTCCCCAATGTCAACATCATCCCCAGCAGTCAATGGGGAAAATGGCTTAGATTTGGAAAACAGACTTCTTGGTAGCTGGTCCTTCTGGCTTGTTTTGTTCTTTTCCTACTGCGAAACCCTTTGCCTAACAAGCTATGAGACATCTTGGATGCAGTTTAATCCCTTTAAATTCCTGTTTGTGAGCCATAGTTAAACATGCGTTTGAAATTGAAGGGTTAGCATGTGTTTAACTATGGCTCACAAACACAATTGGGGTTTCTATGTGAGTTATTAAAGGGCGGGGGGGGGCAAAAAGAAATCCCATTTTCTGAGTCATTTCCCATTTACAGTATAGATACAATTTGCATGTCGTACAGTAAACCTTTTCCTTCTTCAGTCTTTCTTCTCCCAGTTCTCCCTTATATTGTTGGCCACTTCCCTCTTTATGCTTGCCCACTTAAATATTGTAAGCTCTTCAGAGGGTAAGGGGAATGTCTTATGCTAATTTTATAACACATTATCAGTTTTGGCTGTTGTATATGTTAAAAATTGCTGGCAAAATTGCAGAAGATAGCTGCTGACCATCCAGAAGTTGATTAAATAGTTCTCTTGGGTTATTTTTCTCCCTGTGCTTTTTGTGCAGAGTAATTGCGTAGGATTGAAAGAAGAAAGCAGTATTACAAATAAACTACTTCTACCAGCTGTGCTAAGGCACAGCTGACTGCGTGCTTGTAAGACAGCTCACTTGCTGTGGTCACACTAAACATTTTATCTATGAAGCTTGTAATAATAGCCAGAGCTTCAGTGGAGAAGCAGCAGTTTCCTTTTGAAGTTCTGTCAGGGAAATGCTTCCACCGTTGAGGCCTTTGTCTCAGACTTTTCAGCATGAGCTAATATCCAGCTTATTCTCCAATACTATGTAGGATGTGGGTTTTTTTGTTGCTGGGGTGGCTTTTTTTGGCTGGTGGGTTTTTTTTGGTTGGTTTTTTTTGGCTTAACTATGATGTTCACTTTGGAATCTCATCCAGTCGTAGCTGCTTACAATGTGGGAATTCCTTGGGACTGATTTGTTTTGCATGACGAGTTGCCTTCTCAAGATGAGGATTACAAGAAGTCACCTGTAACAAGCACCTCTGTGTAGAAATGTGTCTCTGAAGCAGGCTGGGAGTCTGCAGCTAGGCTCAAGGGCTGTTGTGCTCCTGAGAAATTCAGCTCTCTTTCTAGTTGAGTTGTTTGGACTTCCCTTTGAAGTTTTTTCCCCTTTCAGTTAGTGTTAGAGGGTTTTGTTTGTTTTTAAGGGATGCCATTAAGTTACTCACTGATAACTACATTTTTGTTTCTTAGTCCTGGGTATGTGAGCTAAGGTAGTCCTTATTCCCTGCCTGATTTCTTGGGTGAACCTGCTACCTGTGCAGACTTAAGAGTGCTTTCATTTCTTCTCCCTCTTGGCACTGTTTTAGTATTCATTACATATTTATATTCTGTCCTCATTTACAGGAGGAACCGGTCCCACATCTGATACTGGCTGGGGCTGTATGTTGCGGTGTGGCCAGATGATCTTTGCTCAGGCCTTGGTCTGCAGGCATTTGGGAAGAGGTAAACCAGTGCACAGCCTGTACTGACTTCCAGGGCCATGTGCTCCCACAAGTGTAGTACTTGTGCCCTTGTTATCTGCTGTCCTTACAGCTGATAATTGCTGAGGGCTCTATAAGTTTTTCTTCAGTGTCCACAATTTCAGGGCTGTTGAGAGAACAATCTACTGGAAACCCTCCAGCAGGTTTTTCCCCACTGTCTACAACCCCACATAGAAAGATATAGTTGTCCAAGCCTTAAAACAAAGCAGAGCCCTGGAACATGGTAGTTAAATCCACTGAAGCCAAACACGTACTACATTTTTCTTGAAGGGTTTTTTATGTAGCTGAAGTTTAAAACAACTTAGTAGGTTGATTCTTACTTATAGTTCAGATTTGTCACAAAGCCCTCACTTACTGCATGTAGTCTCCTCTCCCTGAATACTTCTGTTCTTGTGCTTGACCTGTGCTTGGTTTGTAAGCAGCTATATTGGAGTGGTTTTTTGACAGTTGTTGATGGCCTTTGAATTTGTGGAGGATGATTTTTATAGCGAGGTCACCTGTTTTTTCCCCAGAATATGTAGTTCATGCCTGTCAATGAGAAATTGTAATCCTATTTCCCATCTGTGGGATAGAGGTACAATTTGTGTTTTCTGATTTTTTTTGTTTGTTTATTTGCTTTTCTGTGGGTGATATTCTTTTATCCCAACTGTGAGAAAGCTTACTTTTCTTTTAAAATTAATCCTTTACTGTTGGGAATGCCTCGGATGCCTAATGATAAGATAGTGACATGAAAATTGGGTCAGTTGATTGATGCACAGGGAAAAGAATTGTAGCTTGCAGCCTCTAGTTGCTAATAAACACCATGTTTTGTTTCATATATCCCCTTGTCCATCTTAGACTGGAGGTGGATAAAAGGGAAGAGGCAGATGGATAATTACTTCAACGTTCTTAATGCCTTCATTGACAAAAAAGACAGCTACTACTCCATTCACCAGATAGGTAAGAGTCTGGGTGCTGAAGAGTGTGGAGTTACTCAGTCTGGGTTTCCCACGAGCGTAGAACATCACTCTGTGTTTGTTTTACCAGCTTAGCCAAAAAAAACCCCAACTATGCCGCTTGTTTTCTGACATGGTGTAAAACTACCACTCTTTATTATGGATTATGATGGATTTTTGTTCTTGACTCCATTAAGGCTGTCAGGTTTGCCTAATGCTTTAGGTTATATTCAGCATCACTTTCCATACGCTTGCTAAGGTGAGAGGACTGCATGGGGTTGCTGTTCTCACTAGGACCTTGTAATATGAGAAGATTGCTGAGCGAAGAAATTCTCAGAAGTAGCAAATGGGCTAAGGAAGGATCTCACTTTAATATAAACTTCCCTGACAAATAGAAGCAGCCTGTTCCAGTTTTTCCTATAGGATGTTAAGGCACCTATAGCTTCAGTGAACAGAACTGCAGATTACAGGGGTGGTCTGGTAATCAAACTAAGTAAAATTTCTTCTGAGGTAACATTGCCTTTTGAACTTCTGCATTATTGCATTTTGGGGAAAGGATTTGCTTTACGGTCCTTCAGGATATGCTTCTCACTCCCATCTACACTAAGATACCCTATGAAAGGGTAGATTCTGCTGACTCAAAAATGTTTCCAAGTGAGATGTCTTCCCTATTAAATACAAACTCTGATTAGGAAAGGACACAGTGTAGGTGAAATTGTTTGATAAATTATTTTGTTTTTTTCATGTGATGCAGCCCAGATGGGAGTTGGAGAGGGAAAATCCATAGGTCAGTGGTATGGACCAAACACAGTCGCACAAGTGCTCAAGTAAGTGCTGTGTTTTTCCTTTATATCTTTTGAACCACGCAGTGGGGTCATTTGGTTTGTAGTACCTCCTAGCTTACAGGTTTCTGCCCATTGACTGAAGTGCAACTGTATGTTTTAAAGCTGTTAGCAGGCCACCTGCTTGACCTTATCGACCTGTTTGGGCAGGAACTTGAAAGGAGCCCTTCTGTCATTCAGATGCTGGCAGGATGTGAGAGAAAACAGATTTCAAGTTGAGGACAGTCCCCCCCAAAATCTCTCTCCATGTCCCACAAGTAATGTGCTTGCCACTAGAACTGAGCATAATACTCTGCAGCAGACCAGAAGCAAGTGTCAGAGTAGATGATTGTTGCTGTTGTTTGGATCTCTGCTAGCCTCTGAGTTGCCTCTGCTGACCTGAAAAGAGTCATCATTACGAAAAAGCTGCCAGCAAGCCATCAAGTCACTAATGCATTAGCAGAGGAAACCATTAATATTTGCTGCCTGGGTTCCATGGTGACAGGCAGAGGATCAGAGCAGTGCTGGAGCATGGACTGCCTTTAACTGGGACAGAATGTATTTGGAGAAATGTTGTCCCTCCTGTCACCATTCTTCCATCACTTTGATTAGATGAGCAGGTAGCTCCTTGGAGTAGGCTAGGATTGCCTAAAAGCAGCTTTCCCAGGTCAGACTATAGGCTGAATTAGCCCAGGATCTGGTATAGGTGATCACGAGATATGTACAGAAAGTAAATGTGACTTTTTTCAGTTGTTGTTGTTATTTATTTTTTATGCTGTCTTACTTTCTGGTAACCAGCAGTTATGGGATTTGAGTTGGAGATTATATCAGGGCTCTTGTACATAGTAGCTGCTGAGCAACAAATTCCCAGATGTGGTCCCACTTGCAATCTTGTTTATTCTTCTGGCCATAATTACTAGTGGCAATGAAGTCTACAACTCTGATACGTGTATAAAAGCGTACTTTACAACATAATTGATGAAAGCCAGTCTCTCCTAATCCACTTTTTCCTCTCTGATACACCACCATCTTTCTCTTTTAGTTGTAACTAATCCTTGCTTACTTTTTTTTTTTAAATTTTCCTGTAGAAAACTTGCAACTTTTGATACATGGAGTTCACTGGCAGTACATATAGCCATGGACAACACAGTAGTGATGGAGGAAATCCGTAAGTATCACATGAAGGTAGAATGTGGTATATCCTCTGGTACCAAGAAGCCAGAAAAAATTGGAGAGCATATAGTAGTACAACACAACAAGCATGAAGTAAATGTTCTGTCTTAAAGCTGTGGCCAAGCATGCTAAAACCAGATGAGAATTGCTGTTCTAGGACAAGGAAGCCCCTTTTTTGATGTTTGCTTCATCTGATAAAGCCTCTGACTTGGCCCTGTGGCCTCTGGATCTGGAGAGAAGGTCTGCTGACCTTCAGACAATAGGTGGGAGCTGCTTGGAGAAGGCAGTGTCAAACTTGTTTATGGCCACAGGGAGCAAGCAGTAAATGGCTGCTTCCTCTCTGATATAATGGGGTAGGAATGTTTCTGCTGTTAGGCAGAGTAAGAAAAATAGAACAGATAGCTGAAGAGGAAAATTAACAAAATTGGCAGGGGAGGGGGGAAGTAGAAGGGAATCCATCTCTGGAGTGGATCTCTCATCATCTTTTAAGGAGTGCTCACTGGTGGTTTCTTTTTTCTTTTTTTTTTGGCGCATCCTGACAATAGGATGGTGCTGGAGGCTGAGCAGCTGTGCAGTGTGTTCATCCCTAGCATGCTTTCTCGGGCTGCAGGGCCGCAGTAACCAAAGCTGAATGCCTGCCTTGCTGGTTGCTGCAGTCCTGCATGGTCCTGGCTGCCCAAGCCTTCCCCTCGCTTGCTTTAGGCTAACTCATGAGGCAGTGCGCTTACGCAGCACAAAACCATGCAACGTTTTCTGCCAGGTTAGTGTTCTGAAACGGCACATAGAACAGTCCAGTGAGCGCTGGAGCTGGTGCAAGATTACAGGTGAGATCGTGGCAGGCATCAGTTAGGCTGGCTTCGGCTGCCACAGAGCCAAAATCAGTTAACAGGCAATTTGTCCCTAGAGTGCAGGACGGTCACTGTACAAAGTCACATCTTTTATCAGGTAGCCTCAGTTGAGAGGCAAAGAAACATGGGATCTGATTGAGAAGTGCCTGTCTAACCTTGGGTACTTGTAGTCCTATGAAGGTATGTGCTGATGCCCTTTGGCTTAAACAAGGGCCAGTGTGAAAGCAGAAATTGGATTATCTTTCATCTTTAGCCTGAAATCATTACTTCTAGAACTGAAGCATGCTGGTTGTGAGGCTTGGGTATGCTGCAGGCTCTTGTCTGTGTGGCACTGACTGTTCAGCGCTGATACCACTTCAAGTAACATGTCCATACAGCTCGTAATGTGCAGGGGGTGTTTGTTTATTTTCCTCAAACATGAATCATAATGTACCTGTTCAGCACCTGAAAGTCACTGTATGAGTGGGTCTGATGTGTTACATGTCTGTAGGTATGTGTTAAATATTTTGTGCCCCAAACATCTGTTGATAGTGAAGCATTCAGAAGTTAATGCTGTTTCATGCTTCTGTTAAATTTGGTAACTAATACTGTTCAGCCTAAGGTTCATAGGAAATGGCTTTTGCTACAGCAATGAAGAAACATCCATCTTTATCCCTTCTGAGTCAGTCTGTTGTATCGGAAAGGGGCTCTTAGCTGGGCATTGGAGGATCCTGTTCATCAGAAAGGTGACAAGACAGTAAAGCCAGTACCTGACAGCAGCAGCAGCTGCAGCAGGAGAGAAGTTGTGTCAAATCTGTTGGAATATGTTTGCAGGAAATGGTTTGGATCCAGCTGGGAAGCTTTAGGCAGATTCTGCTGTGCTGTGGCACCACAGCACTGCAAAGCCTGCCAAAGAAGCAAGGTGAACTTATTCTGTGCCGAGCTCCCTACTGCTTAAACTTGGGTTAAATATGTTCATATCACAGTGCAGGATTGCCAGTTGCTTTGCCTGATGAGGAAACCTGCAGTGACACCCTATTCAGCAACAGCCCTGACTTGGCAGCTTATTTCAGATCATCAGAACAGGCAGGCTACTGCAACAAAACCCCCCATGATTTTACTGTTTGAACAGGATAATTCACTGTGAATAATGACTTTCAGTTTTCTCAGGACCTCCAGTAACTATGTCTGTGGATGAGAGGAGGGACAGTATAGGGAGCAACTGCAACCTCTTCAGTGCAGGTTGTCTCTCATATTGAGGCTTTAGATCAAAGTCCTATTTCTTCTGACCTTGGGTGTAATGTTCTCCTTTTTCAGCTGGGTTTGAAGCTCTTAGTAGTGAGCAAACACCCTGCTGAAATGGCTGGTGATGAAGGTGTTTGTTTACATGGTGTCCTACCTGCTAGAGTGTCCTGGCATTCAGCTTAGGCCAGGAATAAATTAAATGAGCCTCTGGCATTTTGTCTAATTGCCTTGGCTTCATGATTAAAGTGCTGTGCGTTTCTTTGGGGTTTGAGTTTTTACTTCACATGCCCAGCAAGTAATGAAATTGGCCAGTGAGACAGGTAGGCTTGGAGATGTTTCAGTACCAGAATTTACATAATCTGGTTGCATGACAGCCTGGCTGTGTGTTTGTCAAGCCTGTAGAATGAGGATGCATAGTGCTTATGTCATGCTTATGCCCCGAGGAGTTTTACTGCCCCATATCTTACAGGCAAAGCTCCTACTGAAATTGCAGAGTTTAATGATCATCCTGCTTTAGGTCTCTAAAGTAGCTTCTGAATGATCCCTGATTAAAATTTATGAAGGCTTTAGTGAACTTTAGGAAAATTACAACTACTCTAGACGGACACTATGATTGTATCTCGTTACACCGCCAATTACACATGAATATTTCCTGTGTTAAGCTATAACGCTTTCCTCATTCAATTCAACTGTCTTCATATCTGCCATGAACTACTCTGGAGTTCAACACACCAGATTTTTCTCTGCCTACACGCTCTCTGAATTCAGGACTCTTGCCTGACCTCCTAATCAACTCGTTCAACCTTGTTGGCACAGGTTGTTGCTTAGCTGCTCACCTGCTGGAAGAATTTGCATTTTAACGTCCCACCAGATGGTGGCTGTGAGTACAGCATGCTTTGGCATAATCTTGATGTAAGCTTAGATGAAATGCTGAGCCCTACCAGAAGCCCTGCAGGGAGTACACACATCACACGATCCCAGCACTGGACCTCTTTAAGCTTTTCTTTTTATTAAGTGCTGTAGGCTTTTAGTGAATAGCAGTTGTTGATCAGAGCTTGAATAGAATTACTCAAGGTCTAGAAATGGAGGTTATTTCTGATGCCTTCTGCTCATGTTCCCTTTCTGTAGGGCGGTTGTGCCAGTCCAACTTCCCGTGTGCTGGAGCTGCAGCATGCCCTGCTGTGGAGTCAGATGTGCTCTATAACGGGTACCCAGAGGAAGCAGGGGTTAGAGATAGGCTCTCACTGTGGAAACCATTGGTGCTGCTGATACCTCTCCGCCTTGGGCTCACAGAGATCAATGAAGCCTATATTGAAACACTAAAGGTAGGGAATCTGGAGCTGAATTCCTGGTGTTCTGATGCTTAAGGACCCTGTTGTGAATTAAGTCATTTCTAGAATTTGGTTTTGGGGCAAAAATACTTGGAAGTGATTGTCCTATTTGCAAAAGAAAAATGTGTTTAGAGACAATCCTTGCGGAGGTCAGGATATGGGTTCTTGCAGGCTATAGTCAGGAAAATGGGGGGGGGAGTTGGGGCTTTTTTGGTTGGTGGGGGTTTTGGGGGGTTTTTTGGTGTGGGTTGGGTTTGTGGGTTTTTTTGAGGATCTTACCTCACAACTTAATCTTGGTCCCTATTTGTGTTTAGAGGTACTGGCCTGCTGAAGCATTTGTTCAGCACAACTGTACTGTGCTTGGAGGCAACCTAAGCATTAATGAATGTAGTGTTGTAAATTCCTTGTGGCTCTAATGCTGGAGCTTGTACTGCAGACTGAGGCTAGAAGCTGGCAGACGGTTGCAGGTTGGAGTATTGGCAGGCTGCAGAATTTAGGGTGTGCAGAGTGCACACATAAGACGGTGCACGTTGTCTTGGCTGTCCTAATGCTAGCAAGCTCTGAGCTGGACAGGTAAGAGAGCTCCAAATTCACGCAAGGTTACTTGCTGTTAACTCAGTAGATGGTGGCTGGATACTGCAGCTGGATAAGGAACTTAAACTGTTTCCTGAATGATTGTTCCCTCCTGAGAGCACTGTTGCAACCTGATGCTCCAGGGGATCTTGTCACTGACTGCAGCAAAGCCAGGACTTGCCTGGACTGGGTCCTGGAATAGTGCTGCTGCTTCCATTTGGTCTGCCTGTGTGTTCCTGTCAGCAGTTAAAAGTGGTTTTGAGCTGCTTCCGTGTTCCTTGAACGCCCTGCGTTGCAGCTTTCAGCCTTCCTCATGGAGCTTCTCTCCAGAAATGGCTGTTTCTGCTGCTAGAGTTGCTGGTTTTCAGTGTCCCCGTCTTACTTTCCCACTGCGTTTTTGGATGCGTGCCTTTGTTGCCACCTGCTGTCTCACTGTCTGTCAGCTGTGTGTTTTCTGTATTGCTTTTCCAGCACTGCTTCATGATGCCTCAGTCCCTGGGAGTGATCGGAGGGAAACCAAACAGTGCTCACTACTTCATTGGCTATGTAGGTGAGTGCCCAGAGTACTGAAAGACTTTCCAAGCATCTCCTCCCAGCTAAAAAATGCTTGTGGAGCAGTACAGCTCTCCTGCTTGGTCTGTGGTGCATGCTGCAGGGTTCTTCTGCTGGAAGCATGGAAGGCTGCTGCAGACTGAACCTCTTTGTGAGAACCTGAGTGATGTAGCTTTGAACAGTGGCCATAGTACGGGCGATAAACTTCCACTGCATAATTCTAAATCCTGTCTGTAAAGAGGTATGGACAGAGACTTCTTCCTGCATTCAGAGCTGACCTCCCTTTAGGGGCTTGGCTGGATTTAACTGTCCTGTAGTTGTCCCCTTCCTGAAACCCTACAAACTATTGTCCTTTTACTCTCCTCCTTCCCTCTGATTTCTCTCTCTGCCTGAGACCTCAAGCTGGTTGTGCTTTGGATTTCTGGGGCCTACTTGAGCTTATACAGGACCCTGGAAGGCATGTGCAGGAACAGTATCCAAATAGTGCCTGTGCCTTGATCCCAGGGTGTTGCTGTGGAGTGGCCACCGTGGTTTTGCTGGCAGCTGGCTCTTTGCCTGGCTGAGAAGCATTTGGGAAAGTGGCTGAAAGCAAGTTGTCCCTAGAACGTGGGTTCCTCTGTGGGGTTACGAGAGCTGGCTCTGTCATTGCTCTTCCTCCTCTTTCTATCTCACCATTTGCTTCTCAGAAGACCAGCTTCTGGCATGGTTCTTCCTGTTGATGTCTCCTTGCCTGTCTGTCTAGGTGAGGAACTCATTTACCTGGATCCCCACACTACGCAGCCTGCAGTGGAGCCCAGTGACAGCGGCTGTCTCCCCGATGAAAGCTTCCACTGCCAGCACCCTCCCTGCAGAATGAGCATTGCTGAGCTTGACCCCTCCATTGCGGTGGTGCGTTCCTCCTGCTTGTTTCTGATCGCCCAAAGGAGCAGTGTTGTGGTCCCTCTGTTTCACAGCTGTCCCTTTTGCCCAGGGAACTGGCAAAGGCAGTGGTGATGAGTTGGGTACTACTTTACAGGCATGCTGTGCTCTGGGCAAGTGCTGCTGTGGGTTTCAGTAACGTTGGTAAAGCAGCTCCTTGTGCAGGAAGCAGTTTGGTACAGGGAAGTTCCCCTTGCATGGCAATTAAATGCCATTCCTCATGGGGCAGTGTCCTTCTCTCAGGTTTAGTCCGGGCTTTTGATTCCTGCCTTTTGATGAGCAGATCTGAATCCATTCCTGAATCCATATTATGATTCAGTGTGGATTGTCTTCTGTTGTATCTGAGATGCCTGCCCTTTGTTTCCATGTGGGTTTTTTTCTGCCCAGTGTTCCTTCTGCAATTGAGCAGACCATTACATTGATGATTCCAGTGCTTGGGTAGTCTGGTCACACCAAGCGTACGGAGAGTGTTCAGTTTAACAGAGCAGTGTAAGCCACAGTTTAAAAGCAAGGCAGTTAGGTGTTCTAGCTGCTTGCAGGCCTGGTCATGTTGCTTGGTGTTAATACAAGGCCTTGAGACTGAAATGATCAATCTACAATATATAAAGATAAATTCTTTTTTTCAGGGCTTTTTCTGCAACACAGAGGAGGATTTTAACAATTGGTGCCAGCAAATCAAAAAGGTTTGTGTTTATATCACCAGGAAAGGAATACAGCATATTGTCTTGTTTCCAAACCACTGCACAGACACCATGTTCTCTGCAGCATGATCCCATTTTAAAGCATATGAAAATAGTTTACTAAACTATCAAAAAGAGCATAGCTCTGAAATTCTGTTGATTGATGCGAGTCAAAGATTTGAGAAATGTTTTTTCAGCTGCAATGAAGTCCCAACAGATCATTATTACCCCTTAAAGACCCAGAGCACCACAAGTACAGAGTTGTTGATTCTCATGGCTTTACTCTTGCTCCACAGCTGTCCCTGGTAAGAGGAGTGCTGCCAATGTTCGAACTGGTTGAACGCCAGCCATCACATTTCTCCAACCCCGATGTCCTGAATCTCACACCAGGTGAGGCCACACAGGGAGGAAGAGCTAAGGGTGAGCTGGTCCCTTTGGTTTTCTGGAAATTGTGTGGAACTGCATGGTGATTTCTAGTATGTTCCTGTTCTGCCTGGAGTTTGATCTGGAGCTCTTAGGTCAATTGGTCTAGTTCTTTGGCTTTCAACTAGTGGTTTGCAGATCCCACAGTGCCTCAGGATTATTTTTAGAATGAGTCTGTGAATGGTGATGTTGACTGAGAGCAAGAAAAAACAAGTTCATAGGCCATTACAGCAATGTGAATCTATGATTTGTAAAGGGATGCTTGGAGGAATCAAAAAGGTCCATTGAAAAGGCTGAAAACTGAGTTTCTAGGTAATGAAAATTGTCACAGACAGGGCTGGTCAAACTTAGTTCCACTGTAAGGCACTCCTTCCCTGTGCATGTACCACTACCAATGCAAAAAGGAACAAGCGCTGGGCAGTATCTTGGCTGTCAGGCTCTGCTTATCATGTCAATAATGTGCACAAACATTGCAGGAGATAAAGAGCCACTGACAGCTTCTGCCAAGAGGAGTGAGTATGTGTGGACAAGCTTACCCTGTCAGCAGGCATTGGACCGTGTCCTGTCACTTGCATCCTGCACCCTGTGCTGCCTTGCTCTCTCTCTCATGCTCCCTTAGCATGAACTTGCAAAGCCTTTCTTACCTCACTGTCCTTTTCTGTAAGAATGCTTGATTCCTTTAAACTGTCAGTTGATCCTTGCCTGTATTAAATTGTCCCTATTTGCTGCCTTTCTTACTCTTAAAAATGTTTTTATAATAGGCTACTTGCCCTTCTCCCTCTTCCCTAGCTTGTAGAGCCTCTCCTGTCTGCTGTGTCCATTCTGTTTCTCTTACAGTCCCACCCCTCACTAGAAGGAGTAATTGTACTTTCATGACTGTCCAGCCCCTTGTCCCTGTTTTCCCCAGCCGGTTGGGTTCTGTGCTGTCTTACTTAAGTGAAGGGGACTGCTCCTCTGAGGAGCACCTCTGGAAGTTGTGCTGTCAGCACTCACAGGCACTGCGGTTTGATCAAAACCAGTGACACTAGGCATTTGCACCCTCTACTGTGGGATTAAAGCTTGTCACAAAATGTTCGAGGGGGGGGCTGCAGCTTTGCACTTCTCTGTCCCCAGTCATCAGTTATTGCAGTTTAGCTTATGGCTGGCTGTTCTGCCAAGTCCAGTGAGTGCTTTCTTGAAGCCGGAGTTAATGGAGGTTTCTCCTTTACTTCCCCAGTTTGCCCATACATTCTCACCTGAATTTCCCCTAAGGTAAAGTTGCTTCCCCTTTAGGTATGTGCTCCCTCCTCACCATAGGGTTGGAAGGATGCACAGGAGGGATCAATTACATTACGTTTCCTCACAAAACGGACTGTACTAATTGCTTTTGGGAGAGTGCATGTTGTGTAATTACATTACCCAGCAGCTGGATCAAAGGCAACTATAGCAGAAAGTCTCTAATACATGGGGGGGACACACGACACCTAAATGGATATTAGTCCAGACCTGGGCAAGTTCTCCTATTTTGAGCCTCTTGAGGCAGAACGGTCTTCTGCTAATACAGAGCTGCTGCACAGGAAGGTTGTACAAAACGGTCACAGCACAGAGTTGCACTGCACCAGGGCTGTGTTTGGGATCTGTGAAATGCGGCACATCTTCTGTGCACCACGTAATTCTCTTCAGTGCATTTTCCGCTACATGTTCTCATCCCTCCTCAGAGCCTTTGTTCAGGTATGCTACTGAGTCTCTTGGAACTTGCAGTCACTTGACACTCAAACTCTGCTGCCCTCCAGCTGCTGGTCTCACTGATGATGAGCAGTCAATGCATCCCACGAAGGTAGTGTTTTCTTTTTCTCTTGCAGACTCCTCTGATGCTGACAGACTGGAAAGGTTCTTTGACTCAGAAGATGAAGACTTTGAAATCCTATCCCTTTGAAAACAAATAGGAAACTGACTCTGCAAATTTGTGTTATGTGTGGGGAGAAGGGGGGGAGGGAAGCTCCTTCGAGAGCCTGGGGCTACCGGTTTTCATAGGCGCTTGCTGCCATCCCCGCCTCTTGTCCATCCTGGCATTCTGTGCAGCCTCTGAGCGGAGCGTGCATTGTCTGCGTTGGGATGAAGAACCAAGTGGGTGTTATAGCCTTACTGGCTGGAGTCGGAATTTCTCAGCAGAAGACAGTTGCTGGAAGTGGATGCAGTGGTGCTTAGGAGTTCAAAGCCTATCTGTTACATCAGCAGGTCAGTTGGCCTTCTGGGGGAGGCATAGAAATCGTTAGAGCGCTAAATCCTTACATGGGGACTCCCGTCTGGAGCTTAAATAGAGCCACCCATCATTTAGCAGGTGAAATGTACAGTTAATGCCCTTAGCAGCTTCTCTTCTCACTGGCCAACTTTGACTGCAGCTCACAATGCAAATGAACAGCAGACATGTCCCAACAAGACAGCTGTGAAGCCCCTGGAGTGCAGGTGGCCAGGCTTCCTACAGTACAAGTCCTGTTCCTGCTTTGCAGTACACAGCACTTCCTCACAGGTGTGGTACCCCTTGCCTGCTCTTATCAAAGGAAGTTGAGGGAACTTAGAAGCAACTGGTAGTTCAATAAGCAAAAGGCTGTCTGGGAAAGTGTGGAGCAGACCCATGCTGCTGGGAAGGAACATCTCAATCTATCTCAGTTTAAATTACAGCAGAAAGAATGGAAAGAGAATAGAAAATGTACGTGTTCTTGCTCAGTGAGTCAATAAAGCATTGTGCTTCTATGATGGATTAATCTCTACAGTAAGTATCTTCAGGAAAGCTGCTTCAAGCAGAGAACTGGTTTCCATAGCCCTGGGAAAAAAAAATTCCACAGCTGAGAGAGGTGAAAACAGGACAACTGAGATCTGCCAGTCTTGTGCCTGCGCCCCAGTGTGCTGGCATGGTGTCTAGGGAATTAATCCTGTTGGTACCAAAAATATGAGCTGTAAAATTCCTCAAGGTGTCCTCAGTGGGTTGTTCAGCAGTTCCTCCAACTACTCCTGTTAGACATTCCCCTTCCAAATCGGAAGAGGTGCCTGAAGGTTGAGTAGGCTTCCTAGCTGTGTTGGTACCTCTCCATTTGTCTTCTGCCAGCTCCCCCTCCCTGCAGAGTATGCACAAAGGTACTGTAGGAGCTAACCCAGAGAAACCCATGTCAAGTAATTATCCCAAAGAGGGCAGTAAAGACAGAATGCCTTGAGAAGGTCCAATTATACTGGAAATTTTAGCTACTTTAAGATGATAGCTCTGCCTGGGGTCCTTCTCTGCACAGAATTCAGAGAGAGGTAAACTGTTGAGGAGAGCTGCCATAATGCAAACTGCAAAGTTGCTGAAGTAGTTTCCTTAATGCATGCTGCAGATTGCAAACCTGTTTACAAGGCTTGGGTTTGTACATTTAGGATTGGAACCTGTCAGCTGATGCTTTTGTGCCCAAGGGTCGTGACAGCTGGCTAGAAATGACCTGTTTCCCCTGCGACTGACCTACTGATGCTCTAACTGTCCCTATGCTATCCAAAAGCAGAGGTTTGAACTGGGAACCACAATGCTTCTGTCACTAAATTATTATTTGCTGCTTTCTGCCTGCTTCTCCTCTTCTCTCTTGTAGTTAGGGGAAGAGGCAGCAGAGGAAGTGGGGCTGTGCTCCATTCATCTGCTTTCAATTTGTATCTGAATAAACAGATCTAAAATCTTTGCCTGTCCTAATGTTCTTGCATGTGAATTGAAGGTGGTGGTGGGTGGTATCTGGTAACCCTGCAGCACGGTTGGGAATGCTGTCAAAATGATTGTAGTTTTTACTCTGTTTGGGCAATGAAGGCAGATGGGAGCAAAAGTCAGACTGTGCAATGGTGACTTTATCTTCCTTTTGGTGTATCCAAAAGGATATAGAAGAGCTGCTGGCTGCTTGGGACTGCCAAGTTAATGTTCCTACCCCGGAGGGTGAGCACCTGCAGACATGCTGGTAGAAAATGAAAAAATACTTCCATAGCAATTCTGCTACTTGAATTTTAAGCAGAACAGCATCTCTCTGCATCTAAAATGGTGTAAGCCCTTCAGAGATAGGACATACTTTTTTGGTGAGTGTCTGCCATGTGTGCTTTTGAGGTAGAGGGCAAAGAGCCAAGCAGACGCTCAAAAGTTTTTGCATTGGTAGGTGGAAAGTGAAACTTGTTTCCTTTAAGATTGTATGCCCACTGTTTAACTGACAGCTTTTCATAGCATCAGTTTCCAGCTAGCCTTTCAAGCACCAGCTCTGCAGTAGCAAATGTTACAGAAGTAAGCATAGTCAGTTCAATAACCATTTTTCCTATTTTGCCGTGCAACAGCAGGACACAGCACTTGAATCGGAAGGCTGTACCCTCTGTTGTCACTGGCAGGTCCTTTTTTGTTGAGAGCTAGTCACTCGGGATGCACCTCCCTCTTGATTTGTACACAAGAAGAGTTACTACTTGTTTTGTATTCATGCTTTTATGGCTAAGGACAGCTTAGCCAGACAAGATTTTACCCGAGCGTTAATACAACCCCAATAACAGAGGTGAGCTCAGCTTTCTTAGATCTTTAACAGGTACTTCTGGCTTTTTAGTCAGGAGCCTAAAGCTAATATGAATTAAATGATTTCTCTGTGTGTTGTCTTCTTCCAGTGTTGCTGGAAGGGCCTGATTTAGTGTTACAGGGGCTCACCTCCTTCATGAGGAGTGTTTCTGCTACCAAGTGCTAGGTAGCTGTAGAGTGAAGGCAGCAGCTTTTTTCCATTTTGGCTGATGCTTGCATTAGCAATTTTGCTTTAAATATTTACCTTCCTCTCCCTGTTAGTGAATCAGTTCAATCTGCCTCTCTCTCTAAGACTGAGAGCAGGATTTAGTCTCTGTATCGGCCAGCTTGGAGATCAGTCCAGTACACACTGCTAGAAGACAAATTAACTATCCAGCAGACAGAGACATTAACTCTCCTGGTAATCGCTGTATCTCAGTGCACCTTGCAAATGGTTCAGTTTAACATTCCAGTTTATTGTTGTTTGCTGGTCATTAATGATGACTTAGATCAATGCATAGCTGATCTGGTTTGGCAGCCTGTGCCAGGCTGTTTAAATTGCACTATTTATTGCAATAAATAACTATTCCTTTGATCTTGGCCACAGGAGTAACTCAACCAGTCTAAAATAATTTGTGCCACTCACTCTTCAAACTGGCCTTGCTATGAGCTAATACATCTATTTCAGACTCTTACCTGCTCATAGAAGTTCAGTTTCTGTATTGTTCTCACTGCATTTACTGCCTGAACCACAGCACTTTCACCTCCCATATATCCTTCTAGAAGATAAATGATTGTACTGGGAAAAAAAAAATGCCCTGTGCAAAACTTTTAGAAGAGTAATTTATTAGCAAGTCCTCTACAAACTGGTTTCAGCACAGGGAATGCATTTACTAGAGAGGCAGAAGAATCAGAAACGGGGCAGTTCCCTGAAACTGGGAAGGCTGTTACCTGCCTCTTGCTGCTGTGTCCAGGGGCAGCCCTGGGCTCCATGCCCACATCTGCACCACAGGACTGGGGCTAGAACAAGAGCTCCTGCTTGAGGTTGGGAGGTTTTTTTGAGGAATTTGTTACATGCTCATTGGATGTTCATTTATAAAATACAGAAGGGACTATGCAGGATGCAGGGGAGGAGTAGATAAAATCACAAGGACATCAGCACCATGCTGGACCCAGAAGACTACATGGGATCTAAGCTGTAGTTACTGGAAGGTGATGTAGGGGAATCATCCAAGTGAGGAATATCCAAGAGGTGAGTTTTCCCTTAGGTCTAAAAGAATAACCTGTATAAAGTTTTATTTCCAGAGTTCTCCCAAAGGTTTATTCTGAACCTCCTGCATGGTTTCCTCTGCAATGGTCTTGATTTCTCTGTGCAAGTCTTCTATGCTCTTTGAAGCATCCATTGTCTGTTTCCAACACAAAAAATACAGAAACATGTTACTCGATTAACACCACCAAATGAGAAAAACTCACCTTGCTGTTTTATCTGCTCTTCCTATTACTCAGTATTGTTACTATTCATGAGCAGTGAAATGAGCTAATTACACCTCCTATGCACTGTTTCTGGAGTGGAATTGGAAAAATCTGTTTTATTTGGGAACAGACATTTGAGAAGTAGATGCGGGGCTGGATGAAGGGAAACAGAAGAAACTGCTGCTGCTGCCTGTAGTTTGCTGACAGTCTTTGGGGCATGTGACATAAAGGCACGTAAACGTTCTTCATCCTGTACTGTAGTCCCCCAGAAACATCAGTGTATTGATCCTTCAGTGGTTCTTCAAAATAAATTCCACCCATGATAGTAGGAACCTCTCAAAATCTATCATGTGATGTTCCAGTTTCAGATTTGTTGGTTGTGGTTTTTTTTTAAATACTGCAAGCTGAGGTCAGTAGAGCTATACGATGCTGGTGATCCTTAGGCTGATGTTTAAAGAATAGCAGCATTGCTCCTGTGTGGTTCAGGGAGTGACCAAGGTGAAGAAAGGATTTGGTGAAAAGATGTAGAGAGGTGCAGATTTATCACAGTGACCTATGCAACACTGGCCCGCACAGCACTGCTGAGAAAGAGCAGGCTGTGAGGATATGCAATAAATAGACTTCATGATGAAATGGTAGCCTTTTCATTGCAGCACAGTCAGCACCCCACTTTTGTGCTCACACAGTATCATCAAGTAGCTTGCTGATCTCAATTTATTTGTGTAACTGATGGTACTGAGCTGCGTTTTGTGCCTTGGACTAATCTGTTCTTTGGCAACGTTTGATATCTGTTATTCTATCTGATACTGAGGGGCAAAGAGACAAGAATGCTAACTATACCTTTAATGTGTACTGAAACTGGATTTCCACACTCATTTCAGGGACGCCTCTTCATCATCTATTCTGATATTTATCTGTTTGATAGTTATGCACTTTGAGATATTTTAAACAGATGTGTTGCTTTAAGTGAAAACTCCTTTCAACCAATGGATAGAAAACAAAAGAAATAACAGAAGACAGGTAATAACAGAAACGTGGTCCACTGCTGGAATCTCCGGAAAAAAAAATCACAGTTTACAGACTATACACAAGTTCCATATCATCTCATATGACAGCATGCTTATTTTTGTTAAATGAATTATTTTGCGTTTTGTGCTATGGTACATGTTTTCTGTCAGCTTATTTTTCCAGTTGTTGTGATGTAGGGAAGGTAGTTTCCTAGCATAACATTTACTGGAATAAAAGTCCTAGTCTGGTGATTGTTGTACATTTAGGTCCTTCAGGTTCTAATAGTATACAAAAACTCTTTCATGTTAGAGAACGATGTTTACCTGAAACAGGCTGTGAAGAATTACTTTTACCTTACACAGTCAGCTCATTTGACAAATCTGTACAATCTCCAGCCTCTGGTGACTAGCAACTTATCCATAACCTGTGTCCTCCTATGTCTGCGTGAAAGCGACAGAATAAGCAGAAGATGCTGCCCATATCTCATGATCGAGCACTGACAGGGTGATGGAGATGGTAAAAAGGATGCCCCTACCAGAAAACCTCAGCCTAGATGATCTACACACAGGGTAAATGGGGAACACTTCCCCTTCTGTGATAAGGCTGCTGACTGCGCAGTCCTCTGCAAACAGCTCCAAGGGATGAACAAGAAGTAAAAGCGATGCAGCAGGGTGGAACAAAAAAAGATCATGTATTTGGAGAGACTTCTGGTAGCATTCAGACAGCAAATGCTGATGGAAACTGGCCATGTGAGAAGGAAGGTGATCATCAGTATTGTGTCTACAAGCTGCAGGAGCAATTCCAGAATCCTTGGCAGATGCTGCAGGATGCCAAGGAAATAGGAAGGGAAGAGCATGGGTGTGTCCCATTGCTTTTTACCCAGGCTTGTCAGCTTATCTTTAAGAAAGAGAATGATTTCCAGAAAGCTCTTTTAGAAAACAAATCAACCAACCAAAATTCTTCCCCCCATCCCAACAGGGTCCCATAGGGTGTCCTGGAATGGGGAAGTGCCCTCTCTGCCACAGACCACAGTGCACTTGGCTGATCCCCAACATGTCCCCCTGACCAGAAGCAGAAGGGGGACCACAGGGATGTGATGGGCACAATTTGGGAGCTCTCGTGAGACACCCCCACCGAGGTCTATGAGAGGCCTGTTAGGGTTGTTTCCTTACCTTCCAGTTTAATGTCTTGTCCTTCATCAGATGATAGAAGGACTGTAGAACTTTCTCTTGGAAGGAGCTGTTCTCATAACGTTCATTTCCAAAGTTCCCTCGTTCTGCTGCTTCTTCCGGGCTTAACTGAAGAAACAGAATCAGATCTGGCTTTGGGAGTCCAATGTCAGGCTGTTTGCACCAGTCCAGGCAGAAGTTCTGTCCCAAACAAAGACAAGCAAGTTTGAGGTGAAAGAAGGGAATGCGAAGAAGGGGAAAAAAGCAGGTTAGCTGGAGAGTGGGGTGGGAAAGGAACAGCCAAAGAGAGGAGATGTAGCCCGAAACACTAAGCACAGGCTACAAACTGAAAAGGCAGTATCTGAGCTTATCATGTGGGAATTCAGTCCTGTTAATTTTGGGGGGCCAGGTTTAGCTAGATGCTGCACACCTCTTATGCTCATTTAAGTTGGACAGAGCTAAAGATTTTAAGATCTCTTCCGCAGAGCCCCTCAGAGCTAAATGCCAAG